TACTACGACTACTACTACTACTACTACTAACTACTACTACTACTACCTACTACTACTACTACTACTACTACTACTACTACTACTACTACTACTACTACTACTACTACTACTACTACTACTACTACTACTACTACTACTACTACTACTACTACTACTACTACTACTACTACTACTACTACTACTACTACTACTACTACTACTACTACTACTACTACTACTACTACTACTACTACTACTACTACTACTACTACTACTACTACTACTACTACTACTACTACGATTACTACTACGACTACGACTACGACGACTACTACTACTACTACTACTATTACTACTACTACTACTACTACTACTACTACTACTACTACTACTAGCACCACGCCGACTCGAACTATTACTAGTACTACCACCACTACCATGTAACGCCCCTCACGGGGGTAGAAACCAATTGGACCAAGTGTATTTGCTGGGGCGTCACGCTGTCGCCTGCTCATCCTTTCCTCATCATGCTCGTCCTCCTCCTCGTCCTTCTCCTCGTCCTCCTCCTCCTCCTCCTTTTCCTTGTCCTCCTCCTCCTCCTCCTCCACGTCCTCCTCCTCCTCCGCCTCCCCCTCCCTACCTCGGGCGTGATGGACCATGGGACCTCATGGAGCCTCCTGGTAATCCCGGGGGCCTCCTGGGATAGCAACCTCTGGGGACTTCCTGCGGCCTCTTGAAACCTCCTGGGCTATCCTAGGGTATCCTCAGCCCTCCAGGGGCGTCCGCAGCGTTCTGGAACTTTTGAGTCGTTCAGGATACGCCCGCAGCGTGATGGGACCTCCTGGGGCCTTGTGGGACCTCTCGGGGCATCCTGGGACCTCCTGGAGCGTCCTGGAGCCTCCTTAGGATTCCCACGGCCCCCGGGGACGTCCTGAAGCCTCCTGGAGCTTCCTGATGCCTCCTGAGACCTCCTGGGGCCTCTTGGCGGCTCTCGCCTCAAAATTGGCGACAGTTTCAAGGATGGGAGCCTTCCCTTTGAGAAAGAGGGCGCGGTAGACGTTGAAAAATGACGACAGTTGCACACTTGAGTCCCAAACCGTGCCGGGCGCTCCCCCCCGCCATTCCCGGTCCTGCATAGTACAGTGCGATTTGCCCCCTCCCCGCTGTCCCGCCGGCCCCCGGGAGGGCTAGTTTTCTGGTTTCCGCTGGTAAGAAACACTTCCCCCCCCTTTCGGCGGTGACGGAAGACAGGCGGCGGGGGAGAGCGGGTTGGCAGGGTGGCTGGTTGGGCACGGAGAGCAGGCGGAGGGGATCGGCTGGTTGGCGGGATGACAGGGTGGGCGGCTGGGCTGGTTGGCTGACGGGTTGGCTAGGTGGCGGGGTGGCTGGGTGGGCTGGCTGGCTGGTTGGACGGGTTGGCAGGTTGAGCTGGCTAGGGCAATTGGTTTCGATTGGTATTACTATTACTACGACTATTACGATTACCACTATTACTACAATCTCAATTTCTACGGACAGTACGACTACTACTACTACTACTACTACTACTACTACTACTACTACTACTACTACTACTACTACTACTACTACTACTACTACTACTACTACTACTATTACTACTACTACTACTACTACTACTACT